ATACAAGTAGTCACATTACTTCAAAGATACAGGTGATCGTTCATGAGTTCGAAGATGTTATCAAGATATAAACAATGTAAAAGATATTCAGGTTTTGAGTATATGAAGCAAAACATTAAAGAAAAAACAGCGAAAAATTTTTTTTGATGTGTACAACTTTTAAGCACTTTAAAATGAGAAATGTGCACTAGAAATTTCTCACTGCACAGTGTAACTTGTGAAATGCATGTGAGAGGAACAATATTTTATTGCTTTTTAAATTCTTCATTTTATTTATATTAAAATTTCTTCTAGCTACATCATCCTGGAGATATGATTGTTATTTTTTGTCTGCTCTGACTAAAGTGTATGTTCCATGAGGACAGAGACCCACTTGTATTTCTATATCTACAAATATTTAAAACAAGCAGTTCAAATCCAACAGTGTAGTAGTTCATTCTAGCTTTCTCCTTTACATATTTGTAACTCATTTCTCTGAGATGAAGAAGTTGATCTCATTATCCTCAATATATTTATTTATTTGCTCAGTCCTCTTATATGTTACCCATCTCCCAACCCATTAGGCTGCTGCTTCGAGCTTTGACCTGTACTGGGCAGCTTTCCTCAGGCCTGCTGAAGGGTTTTTAATTGGTGATTCAGAAAGGAAAGAGGCAAGGAAGGTAAGGTAGAAGGGAGGGAGGGAGGGAAACAGAGGTTTTACATTCGAAAGTGTAAGTATAAAATATTGATTCAATTTCCATGATTATCTTCAATATGTGCAGAATTTCTTTTTTCATTTTAAATCTTTCAGTCTTCAAAACAATTTACATAAATCTTTACAAACCGAAGACAGTTTTAACAGTCTTTTACATAATTTTCAAAGTAATGAGGCATGTGGTTTTGAAGCCGGTTTGAATTTGACACAACTGTTTTGAAATGGGAAGTATTTACATGATTTAGTAATAATGGCAATTTTTCAGTAATTAAATGTCATGTTTTTATGATTGAGAGTTGTCTGCATTTACTTTTTTAGGGGGTTAGGAGTAGTAGATAGAACGAGCAGGAGACAGAATTTACCTTCTTACCTGGAATTCTGTCTCCTAATTGGCTTGGAAAATTGGGGAGAATATCCATTTAGCTTAATATGATAACTGAATCAAGCTTAAAATTATTGTCTCCTTAAAGACTACTAGGATATTCAAGTTCAAAAATCATTGTATGATAAAATATTTCTAGTGTTGGTGATGGCTTTACGTTGAGCTAATCAAATTCTCTTACACAACCCACTTTTGATTGCTTAGATTTTGAGACAGCAGTGACCAGGATTTTGAAACTGAGTTTGTCCTAATGCAAAGGCTGAGACTTTGGTCTTACTAGCACCACATAGTAACTAAGTGGTCAAGTAGGTAAAAAGGGTAAATTTGTTTACTAGCTGTCTTGCCAATGGGTTTCAGCCCCAGGCAAGTTCACTATGGATTCAGTGTGACCAAAGTTAAAACAGTAGAACGTTCTTGGGGTGAAAGGGTTATACCCAATTTTATTTCCTCCGTGACAGGTCAATCACTAAAATCTCGTTCACTCAGAGGGAGTCTGTGTGCAGCGAGCTGGTCTCTGCCTCTGGGCCTCTCTGCCCTCACAGCTATTCTCTGGTCCCCTGTCCTCTGTGCTGCCACCACTTGAGCCTCTGCTCTCCTGCAGCCTTGCAGCCGTGCCACCGTGTCGCCCAGAGCACTGGGCGGAGCTCTTTATATAGTGTCAATAGCAATGTATTGCACACACGTGTGTAGTGAGCTAGCCAACCAGGGCCAGGTAAGAATCCTGGCCACAGGAACTTTCATTTTATGCACATCAGCTAAAACTGTGAAAATCTATAATGATTTTTTGAGCAGATTTTCTCTTGACTGCAAGGTATTCAAAGTAGATGCTGACATATCTTCAGAGACCAAAATATATGAAATTGATAAAGTTTGAAGGTTGTTCCAATGGAGGACAGTAGGACTTGAGGCGGCTTGAAGTTGGGAAAAACGGGCAAACTGAACTGGGCTAAACCCTAGACTTGTCCTGACCACAGAAATGAATTGGGTTAAGGAAATTTGAGTGAGTTCAGGAACTACTGAGTTTGGGGGACCACTGGTCTTTGAGAATTAACCAACATAGAAGTGGGTAGAGATGCCTTCTCTCAGATGTTTAAATGTCTATGTGACTTTTTCTTCCCTAATGCAAGAAGTTGATGTTGTTAATTGTACCTTTATTCCATATAACACAAATAATGTTTCTTAATTCATTGGGAACATTGGGAATTTGTAAAATACAGTAAATAAATGATACAGTAATAAATGTAAAATAAAAATGAATTATTAGAAAACATAGAAGGCAAGCCTTGAGTTTTTATTAGATTCAACAAACAGAATTACTCTATTAAACTGCTATAAAATTTCTAACTGCTTCCTCTTAATTTCTAATTTAACTTGTGAACAAGTAACAGGTTGCAGTCTGGCACTAATGTGCAGACCACCCTTTAGTATTACTTCATACCAGCCCAGCTTCTCAAACTCTAATGTATGAAAGGATAACCTGGGGTCCTATGTGACTCCTATTTAGTAGATCTGTGGTGGGCCTGACATTCTGTATTTGCTAACAGGCTCCCAGGTGAATCTGATGCTGCTGATCTGCAGCCATACTTTTGTATAATAATTCTTGAAGTTTACATATTTCATAAACTTTTGATTTTCACAGTGATCTTCTGAACTAAGTTCTTATTCCATGTATGTTATTCCTGTTTAAATAAGATACTAATTAAAGTCATATTGGAACATGACTGCCACATAGTAAAACCTCAGTGTACAATGCTGTGCATTTTAACAGAGCTCAGGTGTGTGTAACCACCACCAAAATCAAAACAGAACACAGTTCCATCACCCCCAAATGATCCCTTCTACCCTTATGTAGTCAACACCCGGAGCTCCTAGCCCCTGGCAACCACTGATCTGTTTTCTGTCTCGATGTATTGCTCAGTAGTAATCCATCAAATGAATACAACATATTGTTTATTCATCCATGCACCCATTTAAGAACATTTTGCCTGTTACTGCGATTTGGCAATTATGAATAAAACCACTATAAACATTCTTACACAACTTTTTGTGTGAACATAAGTTTTCCTCAGTCAAAAACTTGATAGGTCATTCCTCTAATTATAACCAAAAAGAAAAACATTGAAGTCTGGGGTGACTATTTCAAGCAGGCTCTCTTCAAGCACATGGTATCCACAGTAGGGGATAAAAGGGTGCTTTTAAGGACAGAAAATTTGAAGTTTGAAGGCCTTTCCACAGAAAGAGGATAATTCCTAACAAGAATGTAAACGAAGTAATATAAGCAAATAAATTGGTTTCAAGATGATTTTACTAAGGCAGTCCTCATTTACAAAGTAGATGCACATATGTCTTAAATATATATGTCTTGCCAATGAGTTTCAGCCCTGGGCAAATTTGCGAAGGATTCAGTGTGACCAAAGAAAATTGACAGCAGAACGCTCTTTGGGGTGAAAGGGTTGTACCCAACTTTATTTTCAGGTGGCAGGTCAGTCACTAGAATCCCATTCACTCGAGTGAGTCTGTATGCAGCAAGCCAATCTCTGCCTCTGGGCCCCCCTGTCCGCACAGCTGACCCACACAGCCGTCCTCTGGGCCTCTGCAAAGTCGTCCTGCACAGTCGTCCTCTGGGCCTCTATCCTCGGCGCTGCCGCCACTCCAGCCTCTGCTCTGCTCTCCTGCAGCCTTGTAGCCCTGCCACCGAGTTGTGCCCAGAGCACTGGGCGGAGCTCTTTTTAGTCAGCAGCCATGTAGTGCCCACAGGTGTGCAGTGAGCTAGTCAACCACAGCCAGGTGATAATCCTGGCCACAGGAACTCTGATTTTATCCACAGTATAAAATGATACGAGGGGTGGTAAATTGAAGATCTGAGTTCCTGGATTTTTTTTGGAAAAGCCAGTCTTTTGTTTAGTGATTTAGAAAGCGTGGGGAGAGCCTTACAAGTACAGAGGTGTATCTCCTGCACATAATAGGAATACAATGACAGTTTCCATTAAGCAGCTGTGGATGGACAGAATTATTACAGTTAATGACCTCTCATTTGATTGGCACTTGAGAGTTTTAAGACTTCACATAAAATGTACAGTCTTGTTATTACGAGGCAGATACTCATACTCTCATTTTACTGGTGAGAGACTACTCAGGAGCTATGCCACATCTCCAAGTTTACAGAGCCGAAGGATGATTTTTCTAAGTCCTTGTTCCTTCCCTTATCTTGTGTTATGCAGTTAATAAGTTCTGTCTTACCTGGGCAATAAACCAAGTCTGGTAACCACGCCCATCTTGAGAGGGAGGGGCCTGAGGTTTTTTTCACAGGGCTGTGGGCAGATTCCCCCTGATTGATCAGGAGCAGGTCATACTAAGATGTAGAGCAAAGGAGTTCCTCTCTTTACTGCTGCCCACCCAGATGTTGATATTTTCTGCAAAAGCCCCTTAAGTCCTCCCCACCCCACCCCCTGCTGTTTTACTGAGAGTAACTGATATATAACATTGTATTCGTTTTAGGTGTTTATTGTTTTTATAATTTAAGATTTAAGAATTCCCATCCCAGGTGTGCAATCCCCCAACTCTATCATTTTTGTAAATGGAACACAGGCCCAAGGATGTGTGTGGAGTCATGAAAAAAGTCAGGGAGTTGTGCTATCCGACAGGGTCCAATTGCCATGCAGGGAGAACCACCTGTGGCAGTTGGCCAGGGCCCCAGCCGGAATGGAAGGGATTGAAGTTTAGAAACCCAGCCTTCAAACTGCCCCCAAGCCCGCTCCAGCTAACGCTGGAACCCACAACCTCTGGGGGCTGGCTCCTCACACCCGCGCCCCTGACCGCCCGACCGCGGACGGGGCAGAACCCACTTCCTAGGGCCTACAGCCTCCCCGAGACCCATTCCGCAGCCCTTTCACTTCCTGCCAGACCCGCCTCTTCGCTCCGCCCTGAGAGGCTGGCGCGAGGCGAGCTCCTCCCCGAGCAGCCTCGACAGGCGCCACTCCCTGCGCTTCGGCTGGGGTCTCGGCTCAGGCGCCTGCACGCCGCGCCCCCCACAGCCAGGTCGGCGGCCGTAGCGACCCCTCGGCCCCCGGTAACTTCGCTGGGCTGGGCCGCCCCTGCCTCCGGGACCATGCTGTGCTGGCTGCGGGGCTTCGTGCTGCCTGCGGCGGCCTGCCAGGACGCGGAGCCGAGGACGCGCTACGAGACCCTCTTTCAGACGCTGGACCGCAACGGGGACGGCGTTGTGGACATCGGCGAGCTGCAGGAGGGCCTCAAGAACCTGGGCATCCACCTGGGCCAGGACGCCGAGGAGGTGGGTCACTGCTGGGCGCGGCCCGAGGGCTAGGAGGGCAGCGGGCACTCTGCCAGCAAGAAGGCGGAACCGTGGCTCCAGCCCGCGCATAGGTTCAGAAGCTCGGGAATGGGATCTTAACCCCATAACGGATCTTTCAGAATCTGAAAGGCTACTGGTATTTTTCCAAATAAAGTTAGTGCAGTGAACACTCTAACCCACTGTAACAATGAAAAACCCTGTATCACGATACTTTTTCTGAATACATCCTGGGTCCTTTACCTGCCTTTCTGAGCCTTTGTAAAAATGTAATCAATGTTTTTAAGTAACCCTTAGCTTTTACAGTTAATCAAGTTTTTTCAGCTTTCATACTTAGTGGTATAAAAAAGGCTCACAGTTTGTATCTCTTAAAGGCTGCTTTGTTAGTCTAGCTAGTTTTGTTCCCTGCTTCAGAACTGTTTGAAAACCAATCGTGTTTCCCCCAATTTCCTGTTGAGGAGGTGAGGCGACATTCCATTGTTTGAGACATTCTTAATGCCCTAAGTACACATATTGATGTAAAGGGTTGGCCCTTAGCTGAGCAATTTCAACTTCTCCAGGTCATTTTAACTGTGTCCCTGAAGTTTGGCCCCCTTAGGGCCACTCCTTCCAGGGCGGAAATATTTGGAACCTTTCCAGCCCCACTGAAACATGAGAGGACACTTGGGCATTCTGTATCCCAAGAGGGAAAGTGATTACCTATAAGAGGCAACAACTGTTCTATAGTTATATTTTAAGCTGTTCATTCAGTGTCCTTGGTAGTTATAGGCCTCTCTGGTTTATTAGTTAAGATGGGTTAGAACTAGTAAGTTACAATTTTTAGGAAACTGCTCACTTTGTCTAAGGCTCATAATATTCATTTAAGATTTTTAAAAAGTTCTGATTGCACCTGTAGTAATGTTTTCTATTTCATTACTGATTTCAATCTATTTTTCCCCCTTCAATCTTAACAAAGGTTTGTCTATTTTATTTATACTTTGAAAGAATCAACCTTTGGTACATCTTGCTGATTGTCTCTGTTCCTTATTTTCTCCTCTTTCTATCTCTTTCTTTTTATTTTCTTGGGGTTTACTTGTTTGCTTTTTTCTAATTTCTTGAGTTGAATGCTTGATTCCTTAAATTTGAGCTATAGTATCTCTTTAATCACTTATTCAGCTGCATCCCACAAGCTTGTATTTTTGTTGTTATTTAGTTTGTATTTTCTAATTTCAAACATGATTTCATCTTTTTAAGTGCTTTCTTTATATTTCCAAGTATATGCTTTTTTGGTTGGTTCTTTGAAAATATGAATAAAATAGACAAACCTCTGGCAAGATTGATTAAGAAAAAGAAGACTCAAAATTGGAAATAAAAAAATATCCCCAGTTTTCTGAAATTTATATAAGAACAAATTATACAGTAAGGTGTATAAAACTCTGTATCAAACACACAGAACAGGATGGCATATATCTATCATTATAGGTATGTATTTTATACATATAAATAAAATATATTTTACACAAACATACATAAATACACATAATATTACTCCCTGTGCTCATGCCAGATATTAACTATTCCTAGCACTCTTTTTTGACTGGTAGGTACATGCTTCAACAAAAGGTTAATCATGGTTACCTCTGGATGGTCAAAGTTAAATTATCTTTTTTTTCTTTGTAATTCTTTATTAAATTTTATGTGTTAGTTATGATTGGGGGAAAAAGGTTTTTTTGGGGTGTGTGTGATAAATATCACCTCTACTGGGGCAAGCCTTTCTGGACCACCCTCTATAGACGAGTTGATCATGCTCTACTATGTGTAGGTCCCTTATCTCATATATCACTACTGTTACAATTTTCAAAAGGTATCATTTTTATTTACTGACTGTGCTAAGACCAAGGCTCTTGAGGAAAAGGATCATGTCTTAATTATCGAAGCACAGTAATAAAAAAGATTTAAGGCTGTGATTTGAAATACCATAAACAAGGTAGTGGCTCATTTGATTTAAGTGGCTCATTAATTAAAGGAAAAAAAAGATAAAACCTAACTGTAAAGCAGTTGCTAGTGCCTGTATTTCTAGCATATTTAGGACAAGATAACCAAAAATCCTCCTGTGGCAAGACACCTAAAAATGCTGGATAAAATAAGATAAACATGCTTATCTTATTTAAATATATAAAAATATTTATATAAAATATCAATATAGCGATAACAAATACATTTATATTATTTATATTTGTTATTTTTCTATATTATTAAATAAAATTGTTTATATTAAATATCTATAAATATTTATTTATAAAGATGTTTACCTTATTTTTAAAGACTTTATTTTTAGAGCAGTTTTAGGTTTACACCAAAATTGAGAGGAAGCCTCAGAGATTTCCCATATATCCCCTGAAGCTATGCATTACATGCATACCCTTCCCCATTGTCAAAATCACTCATCAGAATGGTATTTTTTTTTTTACCAAGGATGAACCAACACTGACCAATCATTTTACTCCAAAGTCCATAGTCCATAGTTTACCTTGGAGTTCACTCTTGGTGATGAATATACTCTGGGTTTGGACAAATGTATAATGACATATATCCATCATTATCATATGGTACAGAAAATTTTCACTGCCCTAAAAATCTTCTGTGTTCTGCCTGTTCACTCCCCCACCACTACTCTTTCTATTATCATATTTTCCCCAGATAAGCATCTTTTTACATGCAGATAGCTTGTAAGAGAATAAGAAAAACCTAGTCAAACAGCCTGGGTTTAAATCTTGGTTCTGCTACTTACCAGTTAACTTTGGGCAATTTTCTTAATCTCTCTAGCCTCAGTTTCTTCACCTGTAACAGAAATCACCCTAGTACCTATCTGAAAGGATTATTGTAAAGAATAATTGAATTAAATATATGTAAAATAGGTAGAATAATACCTGGTACCTGAGAAGCCATCAACTAGCTATTAGCCTTTGAATTATCTACTACTGTTACTATAATCATACTGAAGGAGCTGTGTCAGAATCTCCATTATTGGAATGTGCCAACTTTTCTTTATAATTCTGTCAGTTTTTCCCTTTTATATTTTAAAAATAGACCATATGGGGGCCTACACTACTGGTGTATCCAAGTCCAGCACTCCTGGATCTTTCCAGTGAACCACCCCTTTTGTCATTGTGCTTTCTTGCCTGCCCTTATGCATAGTTCCCTGATATTTTTCAGATGCCTGAATCGCTGCATTAGCCAGGGTGTTCCCCTCAGACAGGCCATTTTCCCAGGTCACCACCTGGAAATCTTCAGCATTTGGGCATCTGTCTTATGCAAGGCACTATCCTTGTCCCATATTCCACTCGTGGTTCTTTGCCAGCTGGGCTGTGAGTGAGCAGTTCCCAAGCCTACTGCTTAGTGTCTCACCTCGGCTAACGGAGTCACTGAGGAGCCATCACCTGGTAGTGGGTCCTATGGGGGCCGTCCATGCTAGTACCCTGCCACGGCTGGTTGCTGGCTGGACAGCCCAGGGCGGGGGCTTGGGGAAGCGCTGCAGCCAGCCCAGAGCTCCAACGGTGTGGCAGACAGGCTGCCATCAGCTCTGCTCACACAGCAGGCTCTCTGGAAGGGCCAGCTGACCTGGCTACCGCGGACCGCTGCCTGTGCCACCCAGGCCTGCCCCTCTGCACAGGCTTGGGGACTGCTCCCTTGTTCTCAGCCTCTGTTCCTCCAGGGGTTCAGTGGGACAACCACAGGCCCCACCACTTCAGCTGGTCACAACTGGTGCTCAGTATTTCCTTTCTTAACTGGCTATTTTAAATTCTCACATGCAGCTGCAATTCCTGTAGATCTTTGTGACTTGCCTGATGGTGTGACCAGGCCTGCCTTCCTGAAGGGACTGGGCATCCCAAGCCAGTGTTGCGTGGGCCCATTCATGGTTAAAATGGGGCAAGGGAGTGCCAGGCAGCCTTGACGTAGTCACCTGGGTGCCATACGCATTCCTCTCTGTCTCCACTGTGTACCAGCAGCCCTGCCTCCTGCTGATCAGGGTCAGTTTACACCTGCTGAGATGGTGACTTCTTTTCTTGCTTCTTGGTCCCTGGACACAAGGATTTCCAAATGTCCAGGTGGCAGTTGTAGCTCATAGCACTATAGGACTCTTGCTATGTTCCCTGGCAAGAGTATATCCTATTTGGGGACCAGAAACTAACCTTGCAGAGCCCAGAGATGTGGGGTCAGGAAGCAGAGGATCTCCCGGTGAGTCATGGAGAATGATAGCAATGCCCAGGGCGGGGGCTTGGGGAAGCGCTGCAGCCAGCCCAGAGCTCCAACGGTGTGGCAGACAGGCTGCCATCAGCTCTGCTCACACAGCAGGCTCTCTGGAAGGGCCAGCTGACCTGGCTACCGCGGACCGCTGCCTGTGCCACCCAGGCCTGCCCCTCTGCACAGGCTTGGGGACTGCTCCCTTGTTCTCAGCCTCTGTTCCTCCGGGGGTTCAGTGGGACAACCACAGGCCCCACCACTTCAGCTGGTCACAACTGGTGCTCAGTATTTCCTTTCTTAACTGGCTATTTTAAATTCTCACATGCAGCTGCAATTCCTGTAGATCTTTGTGACTTGCCTGATGGTGTGACCAGGCCTGCCTTCCTGAAGGGACTGGGCATCCCAAGCCAGTGTTGCGTGGGCCCATTCATGGTTAAAATGGGGCAAGGGAGTGCCAGGCAGCCTTGACGTAGTCACCTGGGTGCCATACGCATTCCTCTCTGTCTCCACTGTGTACCAGCAGCCCTGCCTCCTGCTGATCAGGGTCAGTTTACACCTGCTGAGATGGTGACTTCTTTTCTTGCTTCTTGCTCCCTGGACACAAGGATTTCCAAATGTCCAGGTGGCAGTTGTAGCTCATAGCACTATAGGACTCTTGCTATGTTCCCTGGCAAGAGTATATCCTATTTGGGGACCAGAAACTAACCTTGCAGAGCCCAGAGATGTGGGGTCAGGAAGCAGAGGATCTCCCGGTGAGT